CACGTCATTACAGAGTGGACCGGGGCCCCCTCCCTCTCCCCAGCCCATCCCCCAAAGTGAGCACAGTTAACCGGCTGCTTCTAAACAGAGACCCGCACACGTGTGGACCAGTGCGTGTACACGCACACCACGGGCACACAGCACACGCACGCGGGGGCTCACACGATTGTTAACGATGAAGATGGTACCATTCTACACACACTGCTTTGCGATTTGCTTCTGTCGCCGGAGCGGGTTGAAGGGCGCCCCCGCGTGGCTGTTCTGTCCTCCTGGAACCTATGAGTGTGACCTTTGTGACCTTGGCAGAGGTAATCAAGCATCTAGAGGTGAGACCACCCTGGATTACCTGGACGGGCTCTACTCCCAGCTGCCGCTCTTATGAGAGGAGAGGACACAGCAGGGAACAGACAGGGTCTGGGGGCCTGATGACTCCTGCCCCTTGTCCCGTCCCCGCAGAGAGACGGCCCGCGCCTGGGGAGGCGGCCCTGAGCTCCTGACAGCTTCCGAACTGTCCTCCCCCCTCCCCGGCCCCCAGAGGGGTCACCCTGGGGCCCTGGGAGCTTCCAAGCTTCCACCCCTCTCCAGAAGCCCCCACACACAGAGAAGCTGCCCCCTCCCCGGCGTGCCTAGAAGGTCCATCCCTGCTGGGGAGGCGGCCCTGAGCTCCAGCCTCTGTTTCCCAGCCAGAGTGAGCCCTCGGAGCCACGCACTCCCTGGCTGCTGGTCTGTGCCGCGTCCACGGTGATCCTGGGCCCCCTGGGCTGAAGTTCCAAGTCCAAAGCCCTCGTCAAGGCCCCTCAGGAGCCTGCTGCCGACTCAGACCTCCAACTTCACACCCTGCTGTAGGGCACGCAGGTTCATCCCTGTCTGTTGCCTCTGGGCTTCAGCACACTCTGTTCCTCTGCTGGAACTCCGTTCCTCCCTGGCCGCCCCCGCCCCTCCTCCTGGAGGTCCTGGTGCAGACATGACGCTCCCGGGGCCTGGCCTGGGGCCGCTGGCATCTCACCATGTGCCGGGCTCCTCATTCCCACACCTCCCAGAGCGCCCACCCGGAGGGGACGCCATGGCCCCTGACCTCAGTCCAAAGGTCACTGGGGCCCAGGGTAGTGGGATGGGTTATACCTGGAAAGGCAATTCTCCCGAGGCCTAAGTCTTCATTTCTCCATTTTTCCTGCGACATGCTTGTGCTCAAGAGTACAGGGTACCAGCACCCTGGAGTTTTAGTCGGACCTGTGACTCTCCAGAGGGAGACTACATTTCCCAGCCATCTTTGCAGCAAATAAGGTCATGTGACTAAGCTTATAGAAACTTGCACAGAAATGGTATATTATCTCCAGGTCCTTAAAGGGAGAAGCATGCTTTTCGCTTTGCTCTTCCTCTGTGCTGGAGTGTGGAGGTGATGGGCGGAGCTGGAGCAGCCATTTTTGACCAGAGGACAGAAGCCATGCCTTGAGGACTCCAGCACAAAAAGGCAGAAGGAGTTTAAGCTCCTAACAAGGGCTCTGAGCCCTTGGATGCTTATCCTCTGAGCACCACACGAAAGATAAATAAACTTTTCTCCTGATTCAGCCACTTTTATCTGGGAGTCCCTTGGTGAACCCTGTTACATTTTCGTTAACCCTTGGGCCAGTGATGTAGACGGTGTAGGTATTTGATCTGCGTAGCGAGCTGGATGGTGTCCCTCCAGATTTATATCCACTCGGAACCTCAAAATGGGGCCTATTTGGAAATAGAGTCTTCGAAGGCCATGTGAAGACGCAAAGACAGAGAGGGGACACGCAGGGGGATGGCCGCCGTATGACGACAATGGGAGAGACGGCGGCGAGACAGCCACGGGGATGCTGTCGGGCAGGAAGGACCCTGCCCTAGAGCCTCCGCAGGTGGGCCACCCTGTCCCTTTCAGACTTCTGGTCTCCACAACCCTGGCAGACTCCGCTCCCTTCGTCTTCAGCCTCTTCCATCTGTGCAGCAGGCGCCAGGGGACCAAGATGGTTTGCGCCTTGCAAAACTTCAGGGCTTTTTGTGTTTTTTCGCTCTTTTGCAAAATTACAGGTTAAAGATCCCCTTTTCAGGGCCATGAACTGTAGGAACAAATGACAGCTGCTGATCGTGTGGGGCCACTTGTACAGGCTCACGGTGGCACCAGCTCTCTAACCCCACCTGCCACCGGCCGCCGTTGCCACAGGGATCCATCACGGCGACACCTGGCATCACCAATGGGGTACAACATAGTGGACTTTGTACTGACGTAGAACTGGTCACTGCACACCAGACCCAGCGCCTGCCCAGGGCTGGCTCACCGCTGGGCAGTAGGCGGACACCATCTAGGCCCCTAGCTCCTGGCAAATGACTCCACCAGACTTAGACCCTCATTCGGGGCTATGTATCGCACTTCCTGACCGTGGGTTTCACCTGCGTTCTGCCAAGGTGCTTCTTTTATCACAAAAGACACCCCATGGCAGCCCGGGGCTCAGGTGTCCCCCCCAGCGTGTGGTGTTGCTGAGCCTTGGGATGGCCTTCTCCAAAGTTCACTTATGAGATTTCTGACTCCACTTTGTGCCCTCTTCCAGCCTGAGCACCAGGGCTGTCCCCGGAGAGGCACAGGTCTCTTTGATCCCTTCCTGAGTAATGGCGAGGATGAAAGGGTGGGGGGTGGGGCTACGTAGATCTTTTTTGGATGTTCAGTGTTCTACTCTAGGATGCTTCTTCTTTCATCCTAGGGCACCCTCTGACCACCCTGGGGGGCCTATGGAACACAAAGTTAATTCTGGTCCAGATCCAAGGATAAGGACCACCTGATTGAGGACACCAAGTGCCTGCAGAAATTGCTGGCAATCTGCCCGCTGGAATTTTCTGGAAAACCAGCCTCCAGGGTGCTGGGGAAAGCTGTGAGCACTCCGCTGCAACACCACACAGGAGTTCATCTTTTCAACAAACATGTGTCAGAACACAGCCATGCGCAAAAAAGCCCAAGAAAAATCCCGAAACACAGAACCAAACTCCGAACTACTACCTTGACCTATATCCTATACCATATACAAAAGTTAGCTCCAATGCAATCATTGACCTACACGTAAAACCTAATACAGTCACGCCCCCCCCGCCCCCATCCACAGGGGATACATTCCAAGGCCCCCAGTGGATGCCTAAAACCAAGGATGATACCGAATCCTATATGTACAGACCTATGTTAAAGTTTCATTTGTAAATGAGACACAGAAACAGAGTAACAACAATAACTAAAAATAGAATGCCGCTAGCAATATACTGTAATAAAGTAACACAGCCACAGGCTCTCTGTCAAAATATCTCACTGCCCTGCGCTGCCCTTCTTGTGATGCTGTCCTTGTGATGCTGTGGGAGGATGAGGTGCTCGCGTGATGGGATGAAGGCGGCGAGGGCTGCCGCTGACCTGAGGATCTGCCAGAAGGAAGGTCGGTCAACCTCTTCCACCCTGGACACCAGGGAGTAAATGGCAGACACTGGTGTCCCAAAACCTCCAGAAGAAAACCCAGATGTTTGCACTGCTTAATTAGGCAAAGATTTCTTAGATGTGACAGACGTGAAATGCACAAACCATAGAAGGAAAAAAATGGGTCACCTGGACTTCATCAACATCAGGAGCTTGCGCTCTTTTATTTTATTTATTTCTTTTAGGATCTTGTGCTCTTTGAAAAACACTTAGGAAAACAAAAGACAAGCCACAGGCGTGGAGAAAAATCTCTGCACATCACCTGTTTGATAATGTGGTGGCATCCAGAAGATACAAAGAACTCCCAAAACTCAATAACAAGGAAACAACACAGTAAAAAGGAGACAGGCAAAAATAAATTAAATAAATAATTTTTAAAAATACACGTTTTAGCAGAGAAGCTATACAGGTGGTAAACAGCGCATGAAAAAATGTTCGCGAAGGTCAGTCATAGAAAAATGCAGGTGACAGCCACGTAGAGGCCCCACTGCACGCTAACAGCACGGCCACAGCGGACCAGCAGGTGCCGAGGACCAGGACCGGGGGCACCCTCCGGACGGCCCTGCGGCGGGGGCCCAGGGCGGGGGGGGGGGTCCCGGGCTCACTTCTCAGCAGGCCCCCTCTGCGCGCGGGAAGGGAAAACTTACCTTCACACAAAACCCAAGGTTGAAAGCTGGAGGCCACCCCAGGTCCCCCGGGGGGCGCTGACCGACCCCGACCCCGACCCCCGTGAGGGCGCGCGGCTCCGCAGGCACACGGCCCTGGGTGTATTTCTGGCTTCTGCAGGCGACAGGCCAGACCCCAAGGCTGTCCCTGCTCTTCTCCATTTATGGGCCGCGGGGGCGACGATCAGGGCTGGGGCTCCGGTAGCCTGGAGGTGGGGGCGCTGCTCGCAGCCACCCCGGCGGGACCGCGCACAGAGAAAGGTGCACTCACCGCGTTCCCTGAGTAAATGCAAGAAACAGCCGGGCGCTCACAGCACGTCCGTGCATCCCTCCCGCAGGCCCGGCGGGCAGCCGGCGCGGGTCCCCCTCCCGCGCGTTCCCTCTCCGCGGCCGCACGCGCCCCGGCCTCCCCGGGGGGTCCCGCAGGCGGCCGGCTCGTCCCGCTGCCTGGGGACTCCGCGACAGCTCGCGGTGACAGTCGCGCCACCGAAGCCCGGGGGTGCGGGGCCGGGGCGGGGCCGCGGCTGCCCCCGCCCCCGCCCGCCCCTCCCCGGCTTGCCCCCGCCTCTCTTCCTGCGCCCCCTCCCCTCCCCCGCGTTCCTCCTCCTCCTCCTCCCCNCCTCCTCCTCCTCCTCCCCCCCCGCCTCTCCCCCCTCGCCCCCACCCCCGCCTCTCTCCCGGAGCCCCTCCCCCCTTCCTCCCCCGCCCCTGCCCCTCTCCCGCGCCCGCGCCCGCGGCCCCGCCCGGGCCGGCCGGCGGAGAGCGCCCTCGCGTGGACGTGGACGTGGACGTGGACGTGGGCGCGGGCGCGGGCGCGCAGGGAGGCGGCGGCGGCGGAGGGCGGCCGTTGCGGGCCGGCCCGCGGGGCTGAGGCCGAGCCGAGCCGGGCCCGCGCCCGCCGGGGGCCCACCATGCGGCGGCTGCGGCGCCTGGCGCACCTGGTGCTCTTCTGCCCCTTCTCCAAAGGCCTGCAGGTAGGCGCCCCCGCCCCCCGGCTCCCGTGCCGCCCGAGGGGGGGGGGCCGCGGGCGAGGAGGGGCTGCGGTGGGGGCGTCGCGGGGCCGGCGGAGGCTGCGCCCCTCGGGCTGAAGAAGCCCTTCCCCCACGGGCGGGACCCCCTCCCAGAGGCCCGGAAACCGCGCGGAGTCCATGCCCCTCCTCACTTTGAAGAGGTGAGGTTTGTTTTCCTGTTGTGGAAAACTTGGGACCCCTAGAAACGCTGTCAGAAGGACATAACCTCGCCGTGGGTCATCTCCCAGCCAGCCCGCCCTTAGGGGTGTGCCCTGACACCACCATGACCTTGGAACAATCTCCTCCCCTCCAGGGGGCCGCTGTCTGGAGGGGTTGGGAAGCTTGTCACCTCTGCTTTGGGTGGTCCCAGCCAGGCCAGGCCCACCCCGTGACCGAAATGCAACCCCCCCCTCCCCCGCAGCCCTGTTCAGAGCCGCCCACACCTCCCTGTCCTCTTCAGGCTGTCCTGGGGCAAGAGGGTCCCTGCCAGGGAATGCCCTTGGCCGGGGCCTGGCCGTCCTCCCTGTCCCTCTGGGGAGAAGCCTGGGAGCCGGAAACATTCTGGTTTTGTGTCTGTGGAGACCCCTCCCTGCCCACCTGGAGCCTCAGAGTGCATCCCCGTGTCCGCCCAGCCCTGGGCGACATGGGAGCTGAGGGGTCTGAGGGTGCACCCCCAGGCCTGGGAAGTGGGGTGTGCAATGCTCCCCGCCCCATCCTGGGGGAGGGGCCTCGGCCAGGTTGCTGCAGAGGCCCAGAGCTTGACGGAGGATGGGATGGGCTGGTTCCCAGTGGTTTGAGCCAGGCCCGCCCACCTGCTGTTTGGGGCCACATTCAGAGCCTCAGTTTCCCTGCCCCTGACACACCCTTCTGGGTTAGAGGTAAGGGTTGGTGCCATGGTGCATGCGGGGTGCTGGCGCGTGGGTGACGTGGCTGTTACCCCTGAGTGATTCACCCCACTCCCCAAGTGGCTTGGCCACGGAACCCAGGCCAGGTGGGGTCGGGGAGCTGCATGGGGCCTGCCAAGAATGAACCAGTCCTGCCCCAGGGGCTCACTCGCCGGTGGGAGACCGGACCCTTGGAGGGCAGGCACTGCTCTTAGAGGAAGGACCCGTCTAACCCACCCAGGACCCCGAGTGTGGGGCCCGCGTGCTGGGAGAGCCTGAGGGAGGGCGGTGGTGGTGCCTGTGCGGGCCTGGCTCCTGGGCCTGCAGTCACCCCGGGAGCCTGTCCCCCGGGTCCGCCCCGGGCCCAGCGCCGCTCCGCAGGCCCTCCCAGCCCTCAGCTCGGACGCCCGCTGCCAGCCTTGAGGGCCCTCTTGGAGCTGGAGCCACCAAGGCCCTGCCGGTGCCACCTCACAGCAGTGTCTTCCGACCGTGTCCTGCCAAAGCGACGCCCCCCCCCGCCCCCCCCNCCCCCCCCCCCCCGATTTCACTGCTTTCCTGTTTTTCATTTTGAACAAACGTGCCGGAAGCAGATGTGGTGGCGGGACAAGGGGGGCTGAGGCCCAAACCACCCTGGTCCTCCGGGCTCCCCGCTGGCCCCTGGAGCTCCCCGGGACCCTCCTGCCGCAGCCCCTCCCAGGGCGGGTGCCAGGGAAGCAGGACGTGAGGCCCCCACCCTGTCCTCACCGAGAGCCAGCCCCAGCCTTCAGCGAGGCGGGACCCAGGGCTACAGGACTGCAGCGTGGTCGGGGGGGGGGGTTCTTCCTTTGGGGCCTAGTGGCCTGAGGCTCCGGGCCGTCCTGCTCTCCTGGCCCCTGGGTCCCAGCCGTCTCCTCTGGGGTTCAGCCCGCAGGACTGAGTCATTGGTAACCCCATCCCCTCAGTCGACTGCCCCGCGACTGCAGTGCAGGAGGCCTGTGATTTGCCGGGGCAGGGGGTGGGGAAGGGGGGTGCCCCTGGACCCCGGGGGGTGTGGGAGCTGGGTGGGAGACCGAACCCGCAGCCCACCTGCTTGTGCAAGGGTCTGGGGCCCTCGCACCCTGCCATTCTTCACGTCAGCTGAATCCGGCGGAGGGGCCGAACCCCGACACAGGCTGTTCCCAGCGCACCCCGATGTCTGGGACGGGGTTCTGGCGGTGGGGCCAGGGGCTGCTTACCTTTCATTCTCCGTTGTGGGAAAATACACAGAATGTAAAATTTAGCACCTTAAGCATTTCTGAGGGGTCCGTCACAGCCGTCCCGTCCGTCCGTCCCCAAACCCTGTCCATCTTCCCAGACTGGACTCTGTCCCGTTACACACGGACCCTCCCCTCCCCCCACACCTGTGGGTCCGACTCCTCCAGGGCCTCCTGGGAGTGGATCCTACACGGTTTGTGCTTCTTAACGGGCTCCTCTGAGGACAGTGACCGCAAGGTTCGTCTGTGTTGTAGCCTGTGTCGGGATTCCCTGCCTTTTAGAGTGGATGATGTTCCGTGGTGTGGACGGACCCTGTTGTTTCCCCGCTCACCGACCCTCGGCTTGTGTGTCTCTTTGGCCCTGGGGACAATGCTGGCGTTGCCGTGGGTGTGCGAGGTCACGTCCCTCTGGGCGCCCCGGTGAGGCTGCAGAGGCCCCGCCCCGGCTCAGCCGGAATGACACCCCCCCCCCCCCCCCCGTCAGAGGACCGAGTGCGCCGTGGTGATTTTCCAGCCTGACCTCGTGCAGGGGTTAAAACGTCATCATGAAATGAGAGCAAGACAGGAGAGAATTTGTAAAAAATGTCTTTATCCGTCACAGTAGACTTGCCTGCTCTGTGTGTCCCTTCGGTTTGACATTTATTTTTGCCTGCCCGTGAGGTTTAAAAGTCTGGGAGCCCCAGGCAGCGGCCCCCAGCCCAGAGTGGGTGCACCGAGGGCCGAGGGAGATGGGGAGGAGAGACGCAGGAGTGCCCCTGGGTGGCGGGCAGGGTGCTGGCCCCAGAGGGGGTGGCGGGCAGGCCAGGGTCAGGGAAGGGGGAGGTAAACGCACCCCGAATGCGGCGCTTCCTCACAGGCCGCTCTCCCCCCAGGGCCGGCTGCCGGGCCTCCGGGTCAAGTACGTCTTCCTGGTCTGGCTGGGCATATTCGTGGGCAGCTGGCTGGTGTATGTGCACTACTCGACCTACGCGGAGCTCTGCCGCGGCCACGTCTGCCAGGTGGTTATCGTAAGTGTCGCCTCGGGGGCTGGCTTGGGGTGGCATGCCCTGGGGCCCCTTGCTGCCCCGCCCACAGAGTGGGCCCTGGACCCTCAGGACGCCAGCATGGGGCATCTCTGGCTGGCTGTGGGAGAGGTGGGGAGGGAGGGACAGTGGGGAGGCCGCTGCAGGGGCGCAGTGGGCTGGTGGCTGGGCCTGTTCCTAGATGTTTGGGGGGAGGGCTTGTAGCAGGGAGACTGGGATAGATGGATGTTGGTGGCCCCGAGGGCCCCTCCTGGGCCAGGGGTTCACCTGCGGTTGGGGGGGGGAGTCGCTGCCTGTGACCTCAGTGAGTATGACGCGTGCATGCACCTGTTCCGGCGTGTGAGCCACTCGTGAGTGCATGTTTGTGGGTGTGTGCTCACGCGTGTGCTCATGGGTGTACATGGGGGGCGTGACGAGTTTGAGGGTGCTCCTACACGTGAGGGCACGTGGATTCATGTGTGCGCACCTAGTTGATGCCCTGCTTCTATGGACACTCTGACTTGGGAGGGAGAGAGGGAGTGCGGGCCAGGCCACACCAGCCCACGTGGCACCGCCAGGCCCCAGGCTCCTCTGACCCCACTCAGCACCCTGCATGGCCTTCCTGGGCAGTTTGGAGCCCCTGGTGAGCTGGTGGCCAGCCCCCCGCGATAGGCCTTTGGGACCCGCCCCGCAGCCTCGGGAACTCGGGGCTCTGCACCTGCAGCGGGGCAGCCGGGCAGCCAGGCAGCCGGGCAGATGAAGAGGGGCCTCTGTCCTGGGGGGCTGTGGGACTCAAGCTGGCCTGCTCTGGCCGAGAGCCCACAGGGGCTGAAATTGGGAAAGTCCAGAGGTGGCAGTTGGGGGGGGGGGTTGGAGGTGGGAAAACTCACGTGACAGGGTTTTCAAGAGTGTGGGTTAAGCACTTCCTGAGGGCAGGCCAGCACCGGGCACCGAGGACCCCGTGCCCAACCTTGGGAGGATTTCCCATTTCCTGCCTGTTCCTGGTGCGCTTCAGAAACGCTCACTGGTGGCCTCCGGGAGCCAGGCCTGAGCTGGGCACCAGACGCAGGGCTCTGTCCTCACAGTCCAGGGGGGCTGGGGACACAGCCCACAGGGCAGACGTGGGGCCTCTGGGTGGGGAGAGGCCCTGCTGTGTGGACAGCTCCGTGGGCTCAGGGAGCTAGGTGCAGGGCAGGCGACCACGAGCCCTGACAGGCGGGGGGGGGGGGCTGTGGAGAGGAGTGGAGGGGATGCTGTGTGGCTGGGGTGAGGGCAGCAGGCGGGGCAGGGAGATCTGGGAGGAGGTGAGGGTTCAGGGTCCGGCCTGGGGGTGTGGGGAGCAGCCAACTAGAGGGTCAGCCTGGGGACCAGCAGGGGACTGTCCCCCTCCCAACGAGGGGGAACTGTAGCTCCCGCTCCCCCTCACCCCCCCCCCCGGGGCCTCTCCGGTTGCTGAGAGCCTGGTCCCCGGTCCATGAGGACGTGCCCACCTCGTGAGGGGATCTTCCGTCTCGCACAGTCCCCAGGCGTGTGCACGGCCACACGGCAGGGCCACGGGCAGGGGTTTGGGTCAGGTTCTCCCCGGCCTACCCCTGTCCGGTGGGGACTGGCTTTGAGCTCCTGCCCTGGCCCATCTGCAGGCTGGGAGCAGGCTGGGAGGTGGGGCAACATGCTTCACAGGCCGGATGGGCAGAGGAGCCCTGAGGCCGACACGCTGCCCCCTCAGCCCCTGTGGGAGCCCCTCCCAAGTCCCAGAGGGCAGTGAGCCCCCGCCCGCCCACCTCCAAGGCCCTGCAGTTCCGTGGGGTTTGGGGGGGTCACGCCACTTGTGGTGGAGGGCTTCCCTAGGAGGCGGTGGGATGGGATTTTCTTACTCTGTACCATCTGGACGACGGCCATTGTTGGCGTGACACTGTGGCACAGACCCTCCTGCTCCCCCAGCTGAGCCGCGGCCTCTGGTTTGTCCCAGGGCCCACCCGCCCTCCTCCCCACACGGTGGGCGCCTCGCTCTCCTTCCTCCGAGCCTGGCTCCAGCAAGGGCCTGGGCTCCATGGCAACGGCGATGCATTTCCAGGAATGCACCCCACAGGCTCCAGATGGCCGCACCTCCCGCCCCGAGAAGGGCCGGCCTCCACCACCTCTAGCTTTCCCACCGTCCTCGGGGTCAGCCCAGACCCCTGGGGTTCAGGGCGCCGCTAGAGAAGGGGCCCCACCTGATTACCGCTGGCTAAGCCCTAGGTGATGGACACCGGGAGGAGCCGCACCAGTGCCCCCAGCTGGCGGGCTTCTTCTAGGTCACCCTTGGGGCAGGGGCGGGGCCCACGCCAGGGAGAAGCAGACTCCCAGACTGGGCGGGGGAGGGGAGGGAGCCGGAGGGAGGGGCAGGCAGCCTCCATCCAATCGGACTCTGAGGGCCTGGCAGCTTTTGAGGCCGCAGTGAGCAGAGGCCCTTGGCAGGTGGGTGGGCGCCTGGCCCTCCAGGGAGCCTCAGGTGTGGCCGAGGCCGCAGCGGTGGTGGTGGCGCCCGTGCCCTCCCAGAGAGGCAGAACCAGGTTTGAGAACCCGGGGGCGCCCGGCAGGTGTGGTGGGGCCTTGAGCTGCCAACCGCGGGGTGCGACATGTGGACGACGGGGTGAGGCCGCGCCAGGGGAGGGGCCCCACCTCCTCAGGCCCCTTCCTGGTGTCCCCCCGTCCCCAGTGTGACCAGTACCACAAGGGCATCATCTCCGGCTCCATCTGCCAGGACTTGTGCAACTTGCACAAAGTGGAGTGGAAGGCCTGCCTGTCCTCCGTCCCCGGCCGGCAGGTAAGCCCGGCGGGTGGGGCGCGGGGCAGGCCTCCACTGCTCTCCTGGGGGCCCGCGGCTCGGACGTCCGCACACAGCACTCCTGTGGCCCCCCAGGTATACAGCGGGCTGTGGCAGGGCAAGGAGGTGACCATCAAGTGCGGCATTGAGGAGGGCCTCAACCCCAAGGCCAGGGCGGACACAGCCCAGGAGCTGGTGCTGTTTGACAAGCCCACTCGGGGCACCTCGATTAAGGAGTTCCGAGAGATGACCCTCAGCTTTCTCAAGGTCGGTTGGCTCCTGGGGGCCGTGCGGGGTTGAGACCCGGATGTGAGCACGGGGCAGGGGGCAGGCTGCGTGGGGGCCGTACCCATCAGACAGGGGCCTGGCTAGACCTCAGCTGCAAGCAGACCCTCGCTCAGGGGGGCACCCCTGGATGCAGAGGACCCCTTCCCTGGCCTGGGGCATCTGTGGGGGAAGAGCACGGAGCTGTGTGCAGATGGGAGGCGGGGATGGGGGGAGTGGGAGCAGATGCCTCTCACGTCTCTGCTGAGGTGCCCGCTCACAAGCTCCCTGAGCACCGGTGGAGACATGGGGACGGAAAGCCCCAGGAATGGCTTCTGGAGAAATGAAGGCATGCCAGTGGTCAGGGAGGGCTTCCAGGAGGTGGTGAGAGGTCTGCTCACATCCCTGAGTTGTCCCCTCCTCATGCGCCTGGATGGGCTCGCCCAAGCTGGCCGATGCACAGGGTCCCAAGGTCTGAATCAAGCACGTCAAGGGCGGGCATGCTGCCAGCTTAGAAACCCAGCATGAGGTCAAGCCCCCTGGCCCTGAAATGACTCGGGCTCCCTGACCTTTGGTCTCCACTGGCAGGCAAACCTGGGGGACCTGCCGTCCCTGCCAGCGCTGGTCGGGCAAGTCCTGCTCATGGCGGACTTCAACAAGGACAGCCGGGTGTCCCTGGCGGAGGCCAAGTCCGTGTGGGCCCTGCTGCAGCGGAACGAATTTCTGCTGCTGCTGTCCCTGCAGGAGGAGCATGCCTCCAGGCTGCTGGGCTCCTGTGGGGACCTGTACGTCACCGAGGGCGCCCCACACGGCTCCTGGCACGGGGCCGCTCTCCCACCCCTCCTGCGCCCGCTGCTGCCCTCCGCCCTGCACACTGCCCTCCAGCAGTGGCTGGGGCCCGCGTGGCCCTGGAGGGCCAAGATCGCCATCGGGCTGCTGGAGTTCGTGGAAGAGCTCTTCCACGGGGCCTACGGGACCTTCTACATGTGCGAGACGACGCTGGCCAACGTGGGCTACACGGCCAAGTACGACTTCAAGATGGCGGACCTGCAGCAGGTGGCGCCCGAGGCCACTGTGCGCCGCTTCCTGCAGGGCCGTCACTGCGAGCACAGCGCGGACTGCACGTACGGCCGGGACTGCAGGGCCCCCTGCGACAAGCTCATGCGCCAGTGCAAGGGTGACCTCATCCAGCCCAACCTGGCCAAGGTGTGCGAGCTGCTGCGGGACTACCTGCTGCCCGGCGCGCCCGCCGCCCTGCGCGAGGAGCTGGGCAAGCAGCTGCGCACCTGCACCACGCTGAGCGGGCTGGCCAGCCAGGTGGAGGCGCACCACTCCCTGGTGCTGAGCCACCTGAGGACCCTGCTCTGGAAGGAGATCTCCAACACCAAGTTCTCCTGAGTCCCATCCCCGCCCAACACCAGGTTCTCCTGCGTCCTGCCTCCCCCTCAACGCCGCCAAGTTCTCCTGAGTCCCGCCTCCCGCCGGTCCCTCAACCCCCCTCCCCACTCTGGAGGGACTGCTCCTCCCTCCAGCTGCCACCCAGCGGAGGACAGGGCCCAGGACGGGGGCCTGGAGGGCTCCAGCACCCGCCAGGCCTGCCCTCCCAGCTCTCCAGACCCACCAACCAGGCAGCGGGGGCCACGTCGCTGGGGCAAAGCAGAACGGAGCCCACCAGGGGTCGAAGGACCCTCCCCCAAGGTTTTGTGACCTTGAAGAACACGTAATGTAAATAAACGGCTTTTCTGTGAGTGCCCTGGAGTCCCTCATGCTGGACCCTAGGCCAGCCGTCAGCCACCTGGGCTCAGAAGTGGGGGCTGTCCAGGCCGGATGGAAGATACAGTGTGGTCCCCAGGGCCTGGCTGCTGGAAGAGGCCTCAGGGGACATCCCAGGTGGGGTCTCCGAGAGCCCAGCCCCATTGGTGGGGAGGCGGGGAGGGGGCCAGGAGGGGTGGAGATGGGATGGAGGCCAGCCTGCACAGTTAACCCTTATTTTCTCGGTCTAGACCTCCCTCCTGCACTGCCTAGCACATAAAACACATTTGAACTCCACGGATTTCAGTGAACCATTAGATCAAAAATCTGTCATCTGGGAGAATCTATCGGTTTTCCCTGCTCCTCTCCTCTCCGAAGGGAAGCCACAGGAGCCTGATACGCCCCGCCCCCGGGGCTCCCACTGGAGAATGTGAATCTGGGGGCTGTGTGACCCACCCAGCGAAGGGGCAGGAACCTGCCCTGGGGGCAAGCAGAAGTAGGAGGCCTGGGGTCGTGGCTTCAAGACCTCCACACAATGGAGGTCACAGGATGGTCACTTACAGACCCCAGAAACCGCGCCCAGAGTCGCTGCTGCTACTCCAGTGCCCGAGGCCAAGGGTTCCTGCAGGCTGGATTCCAAGGGGCTGTTTAAATCCCTTCCTGGGAAGTGACTCAGGAACTCGGGGCAGACACCCCCAGCCCACGCCCAGGAGAGCAAAGCAGCCCCCCCACCCCTCATTGTGTGCACCCGCCCACACCCCTTCCTCCTGATGGGGCCTCTGCTAAGCAAACTGCGAGGAAAAGCCAAGTCAAGACAGTTTCTTCAAGACGAATTTATTTAAGTTTTGCCAACAGAAAAACACTTTTATTGGGGAAGAAAGTATTAACTCTTTCGGCTTAAATGCTGCTTGCTTAAAAGTGTTAAAAAACAAAAAACAAACCCAGCTGTTATACCCATGCTTTTAGCATTAATTTTTAACACTCATTCTACCTAACGCTTAAACAACTTTTTACCCCCGTCCAGACTTTTCTCCACATGTAGGGGGATGTCCCTGTCAGGACTCTTCTGAAGGCAGAGCCCAAGCTGCTCTGCAGTCACTGCATCAAAACAGAGGCCCAGCCCCCCAATTTATCTTGACCCCTTGGTCTACGCTTTCAATCACCTTTAGTTTCCCTGGATTTTTTGGAGGCAGAACGGGCTCTATTAACTTTTAACACTCCTGCCGATACTCCCACGGGACTGCTTTTCAACACACCAACACGCGTTAGAAAACAAATGCAAAACCTGGTCACATTCTCTACTTAAAATCAGGGAGTCTCTCACCCTGAGCAGACGGCCTGGATTTCCGTGGATGTGGCCCGGCCGGGGTCCACCTGGGCTCTCCACCTGAAAACAGGGCAGGGCGGCCCTCAGTCACAGCCGCCACCCCACGAGGGTTCCCCAGGGCCGACCCCCTCCCCTCGCCAGCGCCATGCTTCAGGGGGTTGCGTACAGGGTTCCAGGTGGCCCCTGCGGTGTCTCCTTGGCAGGACAAAGCCACGTGTGGCCCTCAGGTGTCTCCCACCCCCAGCCCCCTCCTGCTCCCTCCAGGGTCCTCAGAGCAGGTGTGGGGCACAGGCCTGAAGCCCCAGCCACGCGTAGCAGCCAGGGGTGCACCACACACTTGCCCGAAGACTTCCAGAAAGCTCCCCCCAGACAGACCTACAGAATGACTACTTCCAAGAGGGAGACCCTCTCCTGGTCAATCCCAGCGGGCCACCTGCTCGCCTCCACGCACGCCTTGTGGAACACAAGAACCCAAAAACCAAAGCGGCGAGGGCCTTGCTCCGCGGTCCCAGCTGGAAGCCAGAGGTGGGCCTCCCTGGCCCGAGCCCACCAATGCTGCCCACAGCGGCCGTCAGGCCTGTTCGGCTACAAACCATTCTTAGTGCTCACTGTTCTGAGCACTGAGCGTAGAAATAGCCACTTCCTCTCTGCCCCAATGTCACGGGCACAGCAGAGGAGCTGCGTCCGTGGTGCCGGCACGCCCGGCATCTGCAGGGCAGCCGCTGCCCCCCAGGCCCGCCACAGGGAGGGCGGGAATCACCTCACCTCGTGCAGCCTCTCCTCAACCTCAGTACCGACAGGGACGGTCAGTTCCTCAGGCCACGTTCACAGGCTGGCGGTCCCCTTCCTTCCTGCGTTAAGGAACAGGAAAGCTCACCCCCATGGCACCGTGTCACGAAAGCTGGCCTCTGTCATCACCGCCACCCAAACCAGACACCAGCAAACCTCTACTTCCACCCTCTGGCAAGGCAGGAAGCAGGGATGGACTATCGGATGGTGTCCTTCATTCTTCCCATCGCTACGATTTACAACCACGGCTGCTGTGGACGGGGGGACCCTTTGCCCTTCGTGCCGTCACCTGCCAGAGCCCTGGGAGAGGACAGGGACCAGCACGTGGCAGCAGCTTAGCGCCTGGCGTGCCTGGGGGACCGCAGTGCCACCGCACCCTCTCCCCCCAGAGGGCTAACCAGTGCATCAGAAAGCCACAAAACAAGGCCATGGGAGAGGAAACAATGCTTTAGGATTCTGAAAGCCAGAGAAAGCCGGATGGCCGGCCTGGGCCACGGTCTCTGGGTTGTTAAAAACCTGCAACCTGGCCGCTCGAGTTTGTGGCTGCGCGGTGCATCCAGCTTGCTTTCAAGAGGCAGAGTTAACCGCCCATGAAAACGCTTTAACCCAGAGAGTCGTCTCAATGAGGCTAGACTGTTAGGTGGTGGCGCAGTCACCCCCAAAAGGAATTTTTAGGCGCCTTCGTTCTTTTCATCCACGGTGACAGGGAATGCTCAGACCTTCCACGTCAGCCTACCTTAAGGCTACTCACCTCTGCTCGTGGGCGACCCCCTCCGGCCGTCCAACGCAGGACCACCGCACAATGCAGGGCCATCCAGGAGCTGGGAGAGAATTGAAGGGTTTTTTACTCGAGGCTCCAGGCTGCCCGTGAGCATGCCCACATCCAACCCGCTGTCCAGTGTCAGACTATTAATCATCCAGACGTTCACCAGCCGGAACGCTGGGCGTAGATAAGCCTCACTTCTCTCCGCCGCCGAATGACACAGATGTGACACAAACGCAGCCACACCTGCAACGCCTCTGGGGGCAGTGCGCTGGGAAGGCCCAGCACCCAAATGTGAGGAGTCCCTGCGACCACGTGGGTGGTGGCCTGGCCCCCGGTAGGAAAGTCACACACAACAGTTACACTCTGGGGTGGGCCTATTCCAGCACCGCCGCAACAGCTCACCTGAGGCCCCAGGACGCCCTCCCAGGCGCTCAGTCTCCAGCAAATCCCCTAGAGAAAAAAGAAACCAGCACTTTGAGCAAATCCGGCGAACCCACTCAGAGCCACTTCACGTGGACCGTTCTGCTGGCGTCTGGTCTCCAGAGGCCCTGCCACCCGGCCTCCGCGTTCCCAGGAACCCCCAAACCCATTTCCCCGCCCCCCTGGTCCCCGCCTTACTCGAGTGTTGAAACTAAGGTCCCCGCGGTGGCAGCGTATGAAGCCCCAGCCGCTGTGGTCCGCGGCGGCCGGGGACCGGGTCTGGGAACGCCGGGCCCCGCCGGGCCCCCGGCTGAGTAGCAGCGATCGCACCACTGCGCTTAGGAAGCCGCCCGACTTTCAGCCGCCGCCCCCCACGAGGGGATGAATGACGGTCAACTCACTTTTTTATCTATTTATTTATTTTTTAAATGTTTTATTTCTAGGAGAGAGAGAGAGACAGCGTGAGCAGGGGAGGGTCAGAGAGAGAAGGAGTCACAGACTGAAACAGGCTCCAGGCTCCGAGCTGGCAGTCAGCACAGAGCCCGACGCGGGGCTCGAACCCACGAACCGCGAGATCATGACCTGAGCGAAAGTCGGACGCCCAACACCGACTAAGCCACCCAGGCGCCCCGGTCAACTCACTTTTTAAAGCTTAACACGGCCACGGTGGGAGCCCACCGTCTCCGGGAGAGCGCCGGGCGCTACGCTCGGGAAGGTCTGGATCCGCGCGGCACCGGGACTCTGGAAACCAGGCAGCGCAGGGCTGGCGGGGACGCCGCCGCCGCCCGGAAAGGACGCACGTACGCGCGGCCCGCCTTTTATAGCGCGTACGGCGGCCTGCGCGGGCCAAACCGCGCCGTCCCCCGCACGCCGCCGCAGCGCCCCCTCGCGGAGCCCTCCGGCCTCTGCTGCCGCCCGCCGCTCTCCGGGAACCCTCCCCAGAGACAGCCGTCCCGGCCCCGCGGGCAGGAGCTCCCACCCTCTGCCGGTGCCCGCGGCAGCCCTGGGCCCTCCTCCTGTAGCGTGCGACTCTGCGAAACGGAGATCCCGGTGACCCACGTCCCGTGGGTGGCAGGACTGCAGGAGTCAATCTCTGCGAAGCACATGGAACAGGAGCGCTCCGTAACGTAGCGCTTCCTGTCCCGCAGCCCAAGAGCACCCCGAACCCGGGGCCGCCCCTCTGCGAGGCGAAGCGGAGCTGCCGCGGGGGGCACCTCGCCCCTCAGCCCGTCGGGAGGATCCCAGGCAGGGAGCGCCGCCTTCGCCCCCTCGGGAGGGGGCCCCCGGGCGCTGCCTCCCGCCGACCGCGGCGGGGTTAGCGGGGGCACCAGGCAGCGCCCCTCTGCCTCCTCCTGCACGTGGAAGCTTCTGGATCGGGTCGGGAAGGACCCACCACGGATTCATCAGCCCCCTGGTGCTTCTCACAAGCTGGCAGGCAGCTTTGCAGATGGAAGTGACCTATGGAGCCGGGGGCACGTCAGTGTCAGTCACAGCTCAGGACGCATCCACACAGGGCCCATTCGTGCTCCGGGGGCGGAGTGGGGAGTCCCAAGGTGCACCCAGACCTGCCCCCGCCCTCCGCCGCGCCCCGGGCCTGGCCATTTTCGCCACAAGCCCGTTTGGCTATGAGCGTTCCCTGCATACTGGGCGGGCAGCACAGATGGAAGCAGCCGGGCCTGGCTTCCTAGGGGCAGGCTGGGCGGCTTTGCGGAAGGAAGCACGCCCTCCCCATTCACCTAACAGCCTGGAGGAGGCGAGGTCCCAGCGGGAGGGACCGGCCAACTCTAGCTGGAGCCCTAACTCTGAGAGAAAGAGGGGTTTCCTATACTCTAGAGACGGTCGCCCTGGCCGACGGGTGGCATTTCTTGGCCACCCGGATCCAGCTGTCAGACTCTGGTCTTGGAAGCCGCTGGCAGCACTGCTGACCTGGGTGACGGTGGCAATGACAGTGGGAACCAGCTGCCCATTGCCCTTTCTGTCCCACTGGGACCGGATGGAGCCCAGGCAGCGGCAGGGTGCCACCTTCTCAAACAGCTCCTGGGGCTCCGGGAGGCGGGGAGTCAGCAGGCCCGGCCACATCCCAGAGCGTGACACCCATGGTCCCGCAGCTCTGGGGAGGGCCCAGGGTTGGAGCTTGCGCTCAGGAAGACGAAGACATGGCTCAACTTTATGGCAACCCCTGGGTCTGTTCCTCCTGCCCACCAGGACGCCCGACACAGGAAGACCCGGACCCCACGCTGCCGGAAGGGAGGCGGCATCTCACTTCCTCCAAGCCCCAGAAGGCAGCTCCCACCTGCCCGAATGGAGGGGGCAGGGGCATCTTGCCCCTGACCCACCGGCCCCCGGCTCCAGCCCCCTGCTCAGCTGCACCCTGCCTGTGGCAGCTGCCCCGAGGGCTGTGTTTTTGTCTCCTGTGTAGTCAAGTTCACATGCTGCCTGTGACCGGAGAACCTCCTGGGCAGATGTGAGGAAGGCCAGCCACAGAGCCCCTGGCATCACCAGACGGGCCAGACCCCGTCCAGCTTCGTGTCTGTCCTGCCTTCTGGAATGGGCACAGCCAGTCTGAGCGGGTGCATGCGGACTGTCCTCCCCAAAGTCCAGGGGATAATTGAGGCCCCAGGTTAACAGCCTTGCCCAGGCCGAATGGGTGGTAATGGTGGAGCCAGGATTGGGACCGTGGAATGGCAAGTCTGGGCAGCCGGTGCCAGAAGGAGGCTTCGCGGCCTCAACCTGCCCAGCCCAGGTACTCACTGCGTCCAGGAGTCTGAGGTTCCTCCTCACTCACTCCGGTTCCTGCAGCCACAGGCAAAGGCTAGGAGGGCTCTGGTGTGGGAGCTGGGTTTACCCTGGCAGGGTCAGATCCTGGATGCAGACATTGGGCCTACAAGTCTTACCTAAGATGACCCCAAAGTCTCCCTCTCCGCATGGAGAGCCTCACACCCACTTTACTGCTCTGATGATTTATCTCCCCGATGTGCCCCCCAGAACCAAGGGTCCCAGTAGTGTTCCCATTCCCTTATCTTCTCCACTGCTGTGATGAATACTTCCCCAAGAAACAGCTTTGAAAACTGTGCCAGAGCTTCTCAGCTGACCCTGGGACAGCACTGCAGGGGGAGGGTCTACACCCGCGAACGCGGATGGGGGCTGCGCACTGTTCTCCCAGAGAGGGGTGCCCGTCCCACGTCTGTCTGGGGATCTGCTGGGGGATCTGCTTCCTCACGTGGTCACCTGGGCTGCTGCTTCCCCAGCCGAAAACCTGCAGGTCTGAAGGTGACCAGCGCTGCCCGTAATGTTTCTGGTTTCTTGTTTCTATCTCTGTCTCTCTTTCTTTATTTCTTTTTTACTGATTTTAAGGGAAAGAGAGAGAGGGAGAGAAAGAATGTCAAGCAGGCTCCACCCTGTCATCACAGAGCCTGAAGTGGGTCCGGAACTCATGAACCATGAGATCGTGGCCTGAGCTGAAACCAAGAGTCAGAGGCTTAACTGAGCCACCCAGGCACCTGTCCCCAGGGTTTCATTAGCCTGAGTCCTTCCGGGTACGTCCCGCATCTCTGACACCTGCTCCCCATGGGGGTCGCCTCCTCCTGGACGTGCAGGTGTTTGGTCATCACCCCTGTGAGCCTATTGGCTTTGGGGCCTTTTCTGGCCCAGAGGCCTGGGAACCCTTTCTCTGGCTTGGGCTTGTGAGGACTGCTTTCCCCTCTGTGGGGCGTCCGTCCAGATTCCTGCATTTCCCTGTTTCTCTTTGGGCCACGGGAGGACCAGCCGTGCCCTGTCTGGCGTCATGCAGACGTGTCCCAGGACGAACAGGGTCTCCACCCCAAGATGGTGTCCATTTTCACCACAAAGGCTTCTTTTTGCACATCGATTCTTTAGCCATCTGGGATTTCAATATCAAATATGAAAAATTTTGTCTCAAAAATCACACACAAGAATTATTGTGTCCCATGTTAAAATATGTTTGCTGACAGATGGCACCTTTTGCATGATTTCATTTATAGGAAACATTCTGAGAAGGTACCGGAACAGAGAGAAAGCAGATGAGGGGTCCCAGGGCCGGGGCAGGGGACGAGTGGGGAGTGAGGGCTTCGGGGACGCGGTGTCCCTTGGGGACTGAGATCCTCTGCTCAGTATCCTGTGGCTGGTCGCCCAGCGCTGTGCGTGCAGTCAGTGCTGAGTCATACGATGTCAAACGTAAAAGTTTTACTGAAAATTAATAAAAAATGAAAACAGAAAATGAAAAAATAAAGCAAGAATTATAAAAAAGATGAGAGAAGGGATGAGGGGAAAAAGGAGGAGACGCTTCTGCGGGGCGTGGAGGGCGGGGGAGGGAGCGGCGCAGGGCTCCGGGCTCAGGTCTTCAGGGTCTCTATTCGGTGATGGCGCCCGTGCAGGGGCAGGAGGAGGGGGATTCACAGGGGTGGGGGGGGAGGGGCAGGGGGAGGAGCAGCCACGTGAGGACGAGCAGCCGCGGGTGGAGGAGAAGCCGGGGGTGGAGGAGCCCCTGCGGGTGGAGGAGCAGCTGCGGGTGGAGGAGAAGCCGGGGGTGGAGGAGCATCTGCTGGTGGAGGAGCAGCTGCTGGTGGAGGAGCAGCTGCGGGTGGAGGAGCAGCCTCAGGGCGAGGAGTCGCCGCAGGGGCAGCAGCAGGACCCAGCTGTCCCCCCTCGGGCGCCCCTGGTCCCTGCACAGGCGCCGGGTCACCTGTGGGCAGCGTGGCCCCCGCGGGACTCGCGCCTGCCTGCGGAGTCTCCGGAGCCCCGGACGCTGCCGGGTCAGGCTCTGGAGCCGCACCGCCTCCGGCTCCTGCACCTGACTCTGCAGAAGCAAAGAGAGCGATGGCAGGAGTGGGTGCAGGTCCTCAGGGTGACAGGAGGCAGGATCCCCGCCCGTGCAGGCCCCTCCAGGAGCCTCTGTAGGGACGCGACCACCCCCCCAGAGCCTCCCAGAGACTCAGCAGCCAGGACCCCTCCCCTGGGCCTCCTCCCCTCTGCAGGCTCCTGGCCCCACCCCAGCCCCTGGGGGCTCCTCCCTGGGCGGCCCAGCACCGACTGGTTCCCCACACCCACAGCCGCCACCCACAGCCTCTCCCCCTCGGGCTCGGCCTCCGGGGCTCCTGGTCCTGAGCAAGGACGGGGGAAGCAGGACCCTGGGAGGGGCCCGGC